TCTGGCAGCGATACGCCGATACGTAGGCCTCGGGGCGCGAGGCTTGGCCAGGTGAGGCCTTGTTCGACCAGTTTGGGCTTAGGATATAGGGTGTAGGGTTTAGGGTTTAGGATTTAGGGTTTAGGGTTTAGGAATAACAAATAATGAAAAACTGATAAAAATAGAAACAAAAATAACAGTAATGGACTAGTACGAGTACTACTAATAATGGTAATGATCATAACAAGAACAATAATAGTAAGAATAAGTGCAATAACAATAGTAACATATTGATTGCTAATGCTAATGTTGATAATCATGGTAGTAATAGAACAGCAACAGTAATGTACAAACACACTCAATATTGGCGGTAGGTGATGGTGGTAGGAGCAGTCAAATGAGTGCGTAGTGTAGAGACGGGTATAACTAGACAGGGAATTCGGAGACTTTGTATGACATGAAGGGATGACAGTCTGAATCATTCAAGCCCCACATGGTGGCTGCTGTGGGAGGCCCACACTAGCATTGAATATGTTTCGCAGAGCTGTACCTACGCTAGACAGACGAGCAGCATACGTCTACACCGTCATTCCCCAAACCCTAAAACCCCAATGATAAAGGCCTTGAATATTCGAAGACGGGTCGGAGGCATGTTACCCTATTGTTGGTAATTATTTTTATTTAGGCCTTCTAGAATAGAGCCCTGTGGGGATCAGAGTAGGGCTCTGGGGTACGCTAGACTCTAGTTAGAATAAAATAAAATCTAATACATAGTCTTTGTAATTACCCATAGGCGCCATAGTAGTTCCTTTTTGGGACTACCTAATGGGATCCTAAATACAAGCCACAGGAAGGAACTACTTTAGGGCCTCTGGGTACTTATGCTTCTACGGTAGAGCCCTGAAGCCCTGCAACCCTTCCGGCCTTGCAGGGTACAGCCTTTGGGTTCGTCAGCCGGAGATTTTCGATGACGCCGAATTCGGGCTGCCTCGGTAAGCTTTGGTGGCGGGGCCTTACACTTCAGGTTTTGTATACGTGGCTTACAATTGCGTCGTGTTTTTTCCTGTCATATAGAGGTGTTGAAAGGCTCTTCACGGCAACCGGTATTTAAGGTTTAGGGTGTTTCCGGCCTGTTTGGAGCTGATTCCTTCCAACATGTTCAGGGCTTCGGGTTGGATTCAAGATATTCTCGGCTTGCTTTCAGACCATACAAGTGACAGTGTTTCCTACTTAAAGGATCATGGGACTTAGTAAGTAGGGTTATAACTAAGGTAACTATACTTATAACCCCAATTAAGGGACTTATAACCTTACTTACTACGTCCCATGATCCTCCAAGTATGCAGCCGGTCAACTTAGGGTTCTGGGCTTGCACGTGAGAAGTTTAGAGGTTCAAGCTTCGAGTCAAGGGCTCAAGTAAAGTAAAGTGGCTTCGGGATCAGTATTGAGGCTTTGGCAGGGGATACCCACAGTAACCACAGTATGGACAACTCAAGATATGCCGCGTCGTAGCAAGCGCTGTATGCATCCAAACTCGAAACTCTCAACCCAAAATCCAATAATGTCCACATCTCTGGGTTGAGGAGCAGAAGACCCCTACACCCTGAACCCTAAACCCCTAAACCCCAAAACCCTTGACCCGACGCCTCACCGGCTACGGCCCTGAACTGAGGGATGAACACACCCCAAAAAGCCCGAGTAGGTTCGTAAGTTCGACCATCGAAAGCCATGGAGCCCAGTGAGGGAACCCAAAGGCCTGCATGTTACAAGCAGGAACTTGTGCTGCTGAGCCCAAAAACCGCTGAAATTTTAGCACCTGGAGGGTTTAGGGTTTAGGGTTTAGGGTTTAGGGCAGGACAACCATAAAACTCTCGTCAAGCCCATCAAGCACTTTATAACACCCTTGACTTGGTGAACCCATCCACGAAAAGGGCTATACCCTAGTAGCTCCAAGAGCCCTGCACTGCGCTTGTCGGGGAAGCCGGCTGGCTCGACTGGGCCAAAGAAGTTGCTTAGATGCTGAGTTCATAAGCCTAGAAAAGTGTACACTGTCATTTTTATAGTAGGTAATATTATCCCAAAAAGAGTAAAGTGTATCCACTCAGCTACTGAGGTTGAAATTATGAAACCAAATCTACAGATAGCCTACGGTTCACACTTGCTATGATGTGCTAGGGTTCAGGGTTTGCCACAGATGTTGGAGGTTGCTGGAGTAAGGAACCTAGATGTAAAATAGCCTACAAGGGGTGAAGCCTTCCGAACATGGGTGTTTCTGGCTGGTGACTGAAACGGTTTGGTTAAGGCTTAGGTTTCAGATGTTCATGGGCTGCGCAAAACAACTGGAACATGATCTTAAGCAATATACTAAGTTGCCGGCAACAGTATAAGTGGCGCGTCGTCGCTTCTGCAGATATCAGAAGTTAGATCTCTCGTCAGCCATAAAGGTGACCGCAGACTTGGCTCAATGCAACAAAGGTTGCATGGAGCATGTGTCGTTGCTCTCCAAGTTGCAGCCTGTAGAGTTGCACTTATGTCGTAACTGATGCTAAACCGTAAACCTAACCCCCATAATATGTAAGCCGTGTTTGAAACACCTCTGCAAACTCGGTTGCTCGCAAAGATCTTCGGCCAAAAATAATAAGGTTTCAGCATTTAGGGTAAGGAAATAGGGTTTAGTTTAGGATCTTAAGACCCTGTAAATCTTTGTCAAAGCATCAAGCCCTAAAGCCGTGAAGCATTGGTATAGGCATGCAAAAGCAACTATCCGAACTTAATGACCAGCCACTCTCGTCCCCTCCCTCTTTGCCCCCGGCCCCGACGCCACGCTCCTTCACAAGAACCTCGTGCGAAAGGTTCAAGGTTTAGTGACTTTGCCGGTTGTACGTTTGTAAGGGCCAGATCTGGAGTTCAAAAAGGGCTCGGTGAAGAGGATTCGCATGACATTAGAGGTGTCAGAGCATCAAGGGCTTGGGGTTTATGTTCAGGATGCGGCATCACGAGTTTCAAAGCAACGCTCAGTGCTGTCGTCGGCATCGTCGTCCTGCTGATTTGATTGCAAGCATCATGATTCATGACCCTCGAAGATCTACCGGGGCTTTGTGGGGACTGTGAAGATTCTGATGCAGGCAGATGTTTCTTGCCATTACTACGACCGCATTTGCTCTGCTAGTCGTAACGGGCTGGCAGAGCCAAACACGCAGCCTTCAAACTTCAACCTTAGCCCGACGGCGCTTAACAGCCCGAACACCTCTCTTGGGTGCAAGAAGATGCAACATATGGCCTTTGATCTTGGTTTCGGCCTGAAGTCAAATGCCCCCTAAAGTTCGCAAAACAAGTCATAAACAGCCCATGGGCCAAGTTTAGGGTTATGACCTTCAATTGCTACTAAGACTAGCACAGTAGGTCTTCAATGTCGAATCAAAATCAAACAAAAATCGAATAGAAATCAACACAACAACATATGTTTGGGTTGAACTCTTGGTTGCATGTATCAATGCTTTGAGCCTTGATGCTTAGATGCTCGCTCTGGAATGCTAATGTGTTGACAGTTGAGGTGGTAGTTTTCGGTAGTTTGGATTTTCCCCGTCAAGTTGTTCCCTTCATTGCTGGTGTTCTGGATGCTCGCGCCTCTCAGCGCCAGGTCCTGATCCTTTCTATTTCTGGGTTGATTCCACTATTATTTGTTTTGTTTGTATGTCTGGGCTGATTCGATGATTGTTCGGTTTTGCTTTCTATTGGTTTTGGTTTGATTTCTGGGCTGATTCGATTTGCATTCGATGTTTTATGTCATTTCATTTTTCTGTTTTATCTTGAATGATCTGTTGAGCGGTATACTCTATATACGCCAAATTCTTTCATAGAAATTGCTTAAGGTCTGAAAGGCTGGGGCAGGCTGAACAACCACTACTGGTAGATGATTAAAGCAACACAACCCAAAAGCCCTGGTTGAGGTTTAGGGTTGTACAGGCCCTGACTGGACCGTAAAAATCCTATATGCTTGGGGGTTCCTTGTTGGGTTTGCTTCATGTAATCAGATCCCTAGAGCGGTAGGTTTGGGGGTGTTAAGGTGGCTATACTGCCCTTATCCCCTACACCCGGATCTCAAACCCTCAGCCCCAAAACCTCCCCCTTCACGCCCAATCCCTAAACCTCAACCCTCGTTCTGAGGAGTGAGCCGGGCCGAAATGGAAGATTTGGTCTGCTTCAGAGAAGACCCGCACCTTTCATGGTTCCGTTGGGGCGGTCTTCTACTCCGCTACTCAGAGATGTGTGCACTTTGGGTTCCCCAGTAGGGTTTATGGGAGCTTATAAGCTTTATGTGGTGTGATAAGACGTCTTTATCCTAAGTAAGGGGCCTTTAACTTGCCGAAAAAATCCTTAGTCAAGCGAGTGTTTATGGATACGTGGAGCAACGTGTATACATGGGGCTGGAACTACCTTCAGTGAAGGACTTCTCTTCATTCATGGTTTAGGGTTTAGAGTTTAGGGTTTAGGGTCTAGGGTTTAGGGTTTAGGGCATCTTCAAGACAGGCCTGAGTTTCGCAAGGAAGCTCTATCAAGACCTTCGTGCGGGTGATTATAATCGACTCGGTTCAAGGATATGACAAAGGGCTTAGTTAGCTTGAAGGTTTAGGCTTCAGGAATTAGGGCCATGAGAAAAAGTATATGTACAGTTGAATATCCGTAAATGGGTGTAAGGTTTGGGGGGTGGGTTTAGGGCTTAGGGATCATTATCCGCAATCGAAACTCGAAGCCATACGACTTTCGACAGTCTTGTCCAAACCAGACAACCCAGAAACCTGAATCACCCGAACCGCCGACACAACCCTAAACACCAAATGCCGAAATCACACACCACCAAAACCGAGGTCGGCACATCAATGCGGCCGGCGATGGCAACTGCATCTTCCAACGTACGAGTGAAGAACTGCTCCTGTGCTCATTCAGGGCTCAGGATTTAGCATTTATGGCTTTAGGGCTTGAGCGGCCTAGGGTTTAAGAAGACCCTAAACCGCAAGCATGCATAGTCCTTTCCATTGTGAGGTTCCTGTTCGAATCCGTATTATGCGAGTGAGCCATCGTCGAGTTCCTTTCATAGACGAAGATTCCGCGCTTAGGATTCAACGTTGCCCAAGACTCGCCGTGAAGCAACGTAGCACAGGGCCTTCATAATTTTAGTGGGATTTTGGGGTAGGTTATAAAATATCATAGTATGTCATAGCATAATGTACCAGTCTGATTGTAAAGGGTAAAAGCCTCTCTATTCAGTCCGAGCCCAAGTAAGGAGACCCTAGTTACTACATAGCTTGCCCTCTCGTAGCAACCCAAGAGGCCCAGTTGCTCAAGTACCATTTGCCTATCGGAGGGCTTACGGTTTACCTATAGTCTCCATTGTAGTTCCTTTTTGGGGATACCTTATAAAATCCTTAATATATGTTTCGTTAAACCAAAAAAAGGAACTACAATGGAGACTATAGGTAGGGTCTCGGAGGGTCCAAGTACCCGAATAGAAAGGTGGTTGGATTTTGCAAGGGTTTTATGACGCTTTTAGGAGGGTCCAAGTGCCCAGATACTGTCATAACGTGAGGCCGGGAGTTGTTTAGGATCTAGGCTTTAGGGTTCGTCTGTGTGCTTAGTAGGTCCTAGTTCTCATACAAACACTGTTGTAGGGAGTTAAAAGGTCCTAACTACTTTGTCCTGAATGGTTTGATATCTGACACCCTGCTACGTTGGTGCGGACCCTTTGGGGCTACCAGAGGCTGCTGCACTAAGGATTTAGGCTAACCGAAGGTGTGTAGTTGGCATAGAAACCCTAAACCTTAAACTTCGTGCAGCCCTTGTATGCTTAGGTTCTAGAAGCACTGATGCTCGAAGCATCGTCGCACAAATGCGTTTAGGGATTAGGCTTGAGGGTCTACGGCCCGGATCAGGAGTGGCATTAGCAGCCGGCAGGCTGCCAGTTCAAAAAGAAGAGTGATCTTTCGGGTCCACGAACCAATCTGTAGTATGGGTTTTTCAGACGCCTTCATTAAGCCCCTAGACCATAGGGCCCATAGGGAGCCATTATAGATATAGATCCCTCAAAGGACGCTCTCATTAAACTCAAAGCCCCAACCGCACAACCATTCATTCTTATACAGCCCTTGTAGAGATCCCTTCTAGAGCATCTAGGCAATCCCTCAAAGGACTGTTAGTAAAGGTCTCAAGAAGAAGCAGGAGAAGGTCCCCCTTGGAACCTCGAAGACTGTCTGGAGGTCGGTGGTGTTGATGCCTCCAAAGAGTCGCTCTTAAGACGCTCAGCCCTAAAGGAGGTCTAAGTTTTTTGTTCTTCAGGCCTGGGTTCAGCCTAAAGATCCGTGCCTCCTTGCTGTATGAATTTAGGGGACTAGAATAGGGTTTTGGGGTGTATTATATTATAAAGAAGTCTAGGTCTGCGATTTTGAGCCTTGGGTTTTTGAACTCTGGGTTTGGGGTACGGGATTTGGTGGTGAGATTCTGGGGCCGGGCTCGATGGAACGAGGGCTATGTACGAGTTCCGGGCGGGGTGTTCCTGGACCCCAAAGAACCTACCTTTTTAGGGTTCCTTATTGTGATTTCTTTAGAGGTCCTGAAAAAGCTAGGTTATTTGGGGTTAAGGTTGGACTTGTCGGCTGAAAGGTTCATGTTTTAAGGTTTGGAGAGTTGGACTCTGCGGTTTGAGGCGATTTTAGCAGTGGTTTAAGCTAAAAGTGTCGTGTGTCGGATTCATGGCCCGACTGGCGTGGAAAATACAGTGCGGGCCAGAGATCCGACTTACAGGGTGGGGGTTGGGATTTAGAGCTGCAGCGTTCTGTGGACTCTCCATTTCCTTTCTCTGTTCAACAGTTGACCACATGTTGTGAACACATTACCTCGTTTAGTCAGTCCGTGCACCTAGATAAGCCCCTGCCTTGCGCTAAGTGCATCGCCACGAGCAACCGAAGCCAAATTTACAAATCCTTCTCCTCCAGGAATACTGCAGCCACAAAACTTGCAGATGCATCCTTCAACAGGTCAGGGCGAGACTTCACGGTGTAATGGTTGATGTACTACAAGCGCATTCTCAACTAGAATACCTCTTTGGAGTATAAACGATACTGTAACAACACATATAATAAATTATATTATATCATATTATATTATATTATATAGCGGCCTAGAAGACTTCTCCCCCAGCCTGGGACGCAGCTCTGGCCTGTAAGCAGATATGACGAACATCCTGCAAAAAAGCACTGGCTGAGCTTCAATTCAAAGGTCTTGACGGCCCCGGGTGAAAGCAAGGTGTCAGGGTTCGGGGTAACTATTAGGATTTGAGCTTAGGGTTCAGGGCTCAAGGTTCAGGGTCACAAAGACAGAGGATTAATACAGTGTTGTTGTACATATGGCCCTTGTGTTGCGTTCAGTCGTAGGGCTAGGGTGTACAAACCAGGGCTGGGCCAGTTCGAGGGGTGGTGTTTGGTGTTTCAGGGGTCTGCGGCTTCGAAGGGCCTCGGGCCAATGGCTTCAGGTTAGCATTCATTCTGAGGGCAAGGGTTTGATGCGTATGTGCACGATCTGGCTCGGAAGCAGGGGAAGAGCAGCAACAGACAGTGTAACACGGTTTCGGCATCAAAACTGAGGATCTAATTTGACGTCTCAGGTTGTTCCAGGATTCGCGGACGGAGGGTCTTTGCTCTACACTGCACAGTGTTTCCTCAACCTGTTTCGTTAGACCTAGAACAATGCGTCTACGACGGGAACATGTCTCCCAGGACCGAGCCAGGTCTCACGGGCTTAGGCGTTTGGGTCGCATCGTATCCGAAAGCCAGCCAATAGGCGTACGTGCCGACCACAGAATACCACAGATACCACATGATTGCCGATAGCATCATGCTCTGTCAACCCGAGCCCCTTCCAGAACAACAGGGCGCCACTCTTCGTGAGGATGCTCTTCCTGGGGCATAAACCTGAACTCCCAGCGGTCATGCCGGCGGGCAAGCCCATGGCAGATGCACGACACCCGATTTGGGGTGGTGCATGCGTGTGCGGCAGCGTCCTTCAACGACTCGAACTGCATCCACGGGTCGTTTGATGAGATCAACCTTGCTTGCACGGCTTTACCGTTTTGGCCTCTGCGTTTACCAACGTCAGCGGCAGAAATTGCATGCCGCTGGTTCTGTGATGGTGTCGCATATTCCAGGTTGTCAACATGATTGTTGCCTCGATCGCCGTCAACGTGATTAACAAGCAGATCTGCAGCCGGAGGCTGACCAAGAAATGTTGCAGCTACCAATCGGTGCACGAGGAGGAATCGGCCTCCTTTACCAACACTATAATATCCATTCCTCATTCGAGTTCCTTTCGTCGCCGACGTGTTCTGGCGCCACGTTGTCTTGGACCAGATCCTGCCGTGGCTGCTCACTGTCAGGTTGGCAATGGCATTGGTCATGCCAGGATACTGAGCATCTTTCCAAATTTCGCCAGGGTGTGGAGAGAAGTGTCTTTCGTCGGCGATGAACTCGTAGCAAATGCCGTCCGCAGAAGATGTGCTCGGATGACCTTTGTAACACCGTCCCACTGCCCTCCTGGCCACACCCAACAGTCGGGCAGCTTCTGACAGCGATGGACAAAAGGCCCAGGACTCGTCTCCAAGCCGTCGCCACCAAACACCCTTACCAAGCTTAGCAGCACCAAGCTTCCTGCTCGGATTTGTGTGGAAGGAATGCCGCTGGTTTTCGCTGTGGCTCACGTATTGCAGGTTACTCAATGCGTTGTTGCCAGCATTCCCATCCACATGATTCACCTGCCACCTGCAAGGATCGGGAGGACCTAGAAACGCCCGAGCAACTAGCCGATGAACGTAGTACAACTCGCCAGTTACTTTCACGCGGTAATACCCGTTGTCGAGCCAATTGCCAAAGCTGATGAGGCCAGTTGTTGATTTAACTCGCCCATGAGAGCTAACCTGCCAGGTGCTTGTGGCCCACCGGACTTGCAAGCCCCCCCAGCCGTGCTTCAGTTGTCTGCCCACCAACTGGGGCAAGTAAGAGGTGGTCGCAAAGTAGGTGGGCAGCTCCCTGATACGATTGCGAAGATGATTAGGCAGAAGCATTGGCCGGCTGAGCGACTGTGGGCCGAGGGATCTTGTAGATGTGTGTAAGCAGGGGTGGGTCTAGAACGCCACGCCCATGACGTCTATGAGGGGTTGTGTAATTCAGTGCACTGTACCACTGTTCCTGGAGTCATTAGTCAAATGATGGTTCCTTTTAGTTCCACTCCTCCACACACTTCAGTCTGCAGGACATGCAAACAGAAAAGCCGGAGCCAGTCGGGTCGAAAGCCGGAGCCAGTCGGGTCGAAACAACCACGGGAGACCACGGAAGCTCCCCTTCGGTTCTGTCACTCCAGACCCTAAACCCTGAACCTTGAAGTCTGAACATCTCTCAACCCCCAAACCCTACAACAACACCCCAACATCCTAAACCCTAAACTCCTAAACCCTAAACCTTAAACTCGAAACCCTAAACCCTACCACAACGCCCGAAGGGCGCCTGCTAGCTCTTGGCCGGTCTCGAAGGAAGACATCGGCTCCCCTTGCACCTGGCAACATCGGGGGTCCTTGATCATTCCCTGGGGCTCCAAATAGCCCAAAGTAGGTACTACCTATAGTCTCCATTGTAGTTCCTTTTTGAGGATACCTTATAGAATCCTTAATATATATTTGGTTAAACCAAAAAAAGGAACTACAATGGAGACTTTAGGTAGGTACTATTTATAGACTTTAGAGACCAAAGTAGGTACCATTTGTATGCTTGGAGCCCCAGGGGTTATGTAATCATAACAGAACAGGCTTCCCTTGAAGGGCTGCATAATGGCTCTAGCTTTAGGCTACAATGGTTTCCTTTAAGAAATCTAGAAGAGGGTCTATAAGGGCCTTAGGGAGCCTTAGGGGGCTTGAAGGCCTAGGGTTGTAGTTGTAAACTGCAAGCTTTAAAGTTGTTATGGCTACTTGAACTAAGATCCATGCGCCTCTGCCAAAAGCCTCAACTCACATCCCTGGCTTCACAGGAGGTATTGGCAACTCTTTACACGTCTCCGCTTCAGTATCCGAGGGGAGACATCAAAGCTGCTAGGGGTGCACAAGGTCTCTCTCTATCCAAGCAAGCTTATCCTGCTACCTGTCCCTAAGGGTCCATGTACTCATATAGTATATACATAGGCCCCAAAGTACCTATATAGGGACTACTTTAGGGCCAAAGTATCTACTATTTGGGTACATGGACCCTCAGGGTGTGATAGGGCTCTCCCACCCCCCACAAAGAAAGATTCGACACCCCCAAGCCCCGAATCCTAATACAACTGCATCCTCAAAAGGTGCTAGGAAGTTCATGGTCGGTACAAGTTAGGTCTGAAGTCACTTCAATATAGGCCATAACTATAGTGACCGACTGCTCTACGCATAACCCCTCTGTAAGTACCCATGCACCTCAACGGATGAGAGGACCCGCTAAGGACCCATCGCTACAGCTATCGTGCAAAATCTCGAACAAACATGCGAAGTGCTCATTCTCATAACGAGGTGTTACTGTTCATGAGCCCTCTAGAGAAGCCCGAGCCCATTCGCCTTACATACATTAATCCTTATCTGCATTATGTGCCGGAGCTTCAACCACAAACCTGAATCTCTAAGAGCTTTATCTCAAGACAGCCCTACAACGACCAAAACCATAAACCAACAAAGCATCATCAAAGCTATGCTATATATATATATATACACACACACACACACCGGGTGGGCACCCCGTCGACCCAAATCGCAATCTTTGAGTCGTAGTCTTCATCGCCAGTAGCCTCACGAAGCCACCGGTCCAGGTTTCAAGCTTTACGCTCACATAATCTCAAGCCTTCGGATCAAGGCTTCGCGGATCAGGTTTAGGTCTACAGTCTTGGTACGCAGGGCATGTGGAACGTCAAGTATAGTGTTTAGGGCGTGCGTTCCACTGGCGTTCCGACTAAGCCTCAACTGGATCGCTCGTTCCTGGGGCATCGTGTCGGGGCCTTAAAGCTACTTGAACCTATACACTAGAAGCGGGTGTTCGCAGTATTCCCCGGAGTCAACTATTTAGATTCTCGGTTGTCTCCTACAAGACATGCAGAAGAGCTCCAAAAGCGGGACAAAAACCCGTAAACTCTAAACCCCAAACATACAATCTCTAACTCCTAAACCTCTCTAATCAACTTCTACAGTCCCAAAAATGCAGCCCTTTGCGATCCCTGGCATGCCTCAAAGGTCACTTGCACCTGCACATCCTCGTCTGGATCCAACTTTCCCGACCTGACTCGCAGGATGAAGAGGGTTGGTCGCACAAGCCACGGTTTAGGGTTTAGGGCTTTGGGTTTAGGGTTTAGGGTTTAGGGTTTAGGGCTTAGGGTTTAGGATTTAGGGCTTAGGGTTTAGGGTTTGGAAGTTTAGGGTTTAGGGTTTAGGGCTTCGGG